TTGCTTCAGTATCCCAACAGTAACCGCATACAGACAGTAAAATGATGGAAAAAGTAGCCAATGACTTTCTACAAAATAAGGTTGCTCTGCTTTAATCTTTTAAATCATCTCTTGTATTTATTTCTCATGCTTGAAAAGAAATGGTGGACTTAGTACGCCATGAAGAAGCGGAGGTGCAATACTTTGTCCGAAGTGGAAACCAGTTTTTGAAGATTATTCAATCATTCATTGCAAATTCTGTGCGAGAGGGAAAGCTTACTCGAAAGAAAGGAAGAGCGTACTTCAAAGAGGTATTGTTTTCACTTGTTCATTAAAGATACATAAAATGTGGATTGGCAATTTCCCTCTTTTCAAACATTTTGAATTGATATACAGGTTGCATTCCTGCCACCACCCGCCTGATTGTGTGGCATTATTTGAGCCAGAAAATAAGGATAGGGACCCATTACACCAGAGCCCCTCTCACTTTTGTGTTTCTCAAACCATCAGTTGTGGCACACCTCCCTCTTCTTAAAATGCAAACATGACAAAAGCTGAATCCTCAGTCTCTTTAGCCACTGAGAGCATCTCTTCACCCTCCAGTCAGCAGCACCCTGTTCTTCATAATCCACCCGAGTTGCTCCTGCCTCCTAATGCTGTAGATTTCACTCACCTCTGGTTAATGATAGTGTTCAAATAATCTAACCAGTTTACTTAATTCGGCTATTGCTATACCAGATGCTGATTTCTAAAGGTTTCTGCTTTTTTTTACAATTCAATTTAATTTTAATACCTTTATGTCGTAAGTACTGTATATCATTCTTAATGTCTGAACATTGCATATTAAAATACTTGTTTTTAATCTTGCAGGCATTGCATACAATATTATTTTGTGGGTGCATTAATATTCCTGTTATTAATCCGGAAGACATGATCGATTGTCGTGAAATTCAGTTATTATCTGAAAAGTATCCAGATGTCTTTCAGAAATACAACACCCATCTCCCAAAACGTCCTCCTTATGCAGTGCTACTTGATGCAGTAAGTTCAAGCATTTCATTGAGGGATGC